GCTGGGAGAGCGCGTGTTGAGCAGCGCCTCGGCCTCGCGTGGGAGCACGGAGTGCACGGCGCTGCTGGGGGCTGGGAGCGCCTCGCTGCGTCCCGGCTGGTGGGCGAGCCCTGGGATTGCTGTGATTGAATGACTGTTTTAATTTCAGCCCTGACGGAGCAAAATTAGTTACGATGATGTGTGTGTGTTGAATGAAATTGTAGTTTTATTAGCTGTAATTGCCAAAGAAGACTTTTTAAAGACTTGACTGCTGGGGGGAAAGATTGCTAGTGCTGGAATTTGCTGTCGCGCAGCATGGTGTCGATGGTTAGCGCGGTGCACGAGGCGCGGGCCGTGGGTTGGTGCAGTGTCGCTGGGGGACGTCAGGATGCGCTCAGTGAGGAACCGCACCGCGTGCGCCCGGCCCCCAGGTGTGCACAAATGTGCCACGTGCTGCGGGTGCCATTCTGCTGCCACGCAGCCACGGCTGCCAGGAACGTGGTCGTGGTCAGAGGTTTGGGCCTGCGCTGGGGGAACTGTTTTTTCTGACGTGCAGTAGGTATCTGTCTCAGTTTGTGTGGGGGGAGGCTGTGCATCAGCAGGAGCGCGTTGCTGGCACTCAGATTTCACATGCACATTTAAAATAATAGCACCTGACAGTTTACTAGCAGCTAAGAGGCTTTTCTGCTTCTGGAAGCAAAATATTGTAGGAGTTGTGCAGTGTGTGTAAATAATTTGAGGAATTGGACAAGAATGTCCGGCGCTCTGTCTCAGGATTGCTGAAGATGACAGACCTGTACAGTTTGCAGACCTGGGACAGAGGGATAGGAACACAGCACAACACATGTCGCTGAGCGTCATCCTTGTGTAGTTGCTGTTCTCCTAGGGCCTCATGTGAACGGGCACAGCGCTAGGTTGCAGTGCATTACTTCATTTCTCTGCCCCAAAGCTTTTCCCTGTGGGGCTGCAGAGCTCAGAGCAGCCCTAGCCCAGCCCTGCTGTGCTTCCTGGGAACAGGGGGGGTCCCCACCTGCGCAGGATATGTCAGGAACTCAGCTTTTGGATCAGGACAGACTTGCCAGGACTGGATGAGGAGATGTGAGGAATAAAGGCTGCTGTGTGTCGGTTGGAGCTGTGAAAGTCAGTGGTTTCTCCGTGGAGGTTGCACCGAATGAGCAAACTTGATTCAAAGGGGAAAAAAAGAGAACTTGGGAACATGAAATAGGGGCTGTTGTCATTCCCGTGCCTGCACGCAGACACCCTGTAAATAACAGCAGCCACAGTGGCTGCATTTATTCCCGCTGCCCCCTGGGTTTGCAGGGCCGTGCGGGACGTGGAGCTGTGCCTCCAGAGCCTTCCTGCGCAGGGTGGTCCTGGGCTGTCCCAGGGTGGTCTCTGTGGGAACCGGTGACAGCTCTGGTTTGAGTGCAGCTGATGAGGCCCAGCACCCAAATCCAGGTTGCAGAAATGAAAGACCAGACGTGAAGTTTCCCAGAAAATCCCCAGTTTGAGTCATTGCCGTTTTCTGGCTGAGCATTCACTGATTTTGCGGCAGATTCAGCTGCCTGCGGCGGCTGATTGAAACTGCTGTCCTCGGGCAACTCACGGAATTGCCTCTCATCCGCAGAGAGGATTCAGCCTTCTCACTCATTAGGGCGCGAGCGGTGATGGGCTGCGCCGCGTTTGATCATCTCTGACCGCTCAGGACGGACCCGGGCAAAGGAGAGGAGTTGAAAATCCTTAAGAGGAAAGTGGGAGGAATGAATGAAGAAAAGCGTGTGTTCTAGTTCTGGCTGGATCCGTTGCATTAAATTCAGAGCTTTTCTGAGTACAATTAATAGTCATCTTATTTAGGTCATCCTGGTTTTGTTGCTTTAAATATATGTCGCCATTAAAGTGGAAGAAAATCAAATAGATTTATCTCCGTGGATCCCTTTGTGAACTAGTTGGGCATATTTTAAATAAGCCTGGAGCTGTGAGGATTATTAAAGCCTTTGGCTCCCCCATTTTTTTCTCTTTTCTCCTCTTAGTCCTTATTCCTCCTTCCAGGCGGTGATTAAAGCAATGCTCTGGCCCTTCCTGTTCTCAGAGCCCCAAGTAGGTTGGAAAAAAAAGGTTAAACAAACTAAAATCCATTACCTGGGCTTTGTATAAGAAGCCGGGTCTAAATTGGGTGTTGGTATGGTGTGTGCTGTGCAGGGGAGAAGTCCTTCAGATCCACACCGAGTCCATTTGCTCCTGGCGTTGGGTGGCAACTTTCTTTCCTTTGCTGTAAGTGCAGAGACACTGTTTGTTCTGAAGTGCTCTCTCATTAGTTGCTCGTTATTAGGTAGGATTCATCAACCCCTTTCAGCTCCGAGTTGAGCACTGTAACGCAGCCGTTCACACTGGCCTCCATAGCAGTGTGCACTGGTCAGGGCTGCCTCGGAGCACCATGCCGTGCTGTGGGGCGGATGGCCCTGCGGCACTCTGGACCTGGGGGGAGAGGGCCTGGGGGGAGCACGGGTCTGGGAGTTGATGGGCCTCGCAGCCCCGCTTCAACCCTGCAGAAAACTTCCTGCGGCACACAGCGAGGCTTTGGGCTGAGGCTGGCAGAGCTCTCCTTGCAGAGCAGCTTCCGAGCGCAGGGCAGCGCAGGAGCCGCGTTGTGAGGGGTGAACTGCGGGAGGGTCACCGCTACCGAACGCCTTGAGTTTCATCTGCAGGCTTTGTGTTTTTTCTCCCCTTGCAGCAGGGATCAATTTGCTTACTACGGGGTTTCCTGCCAGTTACCTTGACTGCGTCCCTTATTTCTCCTTGGTGAGGGCTCGAACAAGCCGCTTGTGTTAGACTCACAGAGAACCGTGAGAAACGGGCAGCGTGTGAGGCAGTGTGGTTTTCTCATTCTATTCAGCCCTTTGTATATTCAAATTCTTCCAGTTTCAGCTCTTGCTGTTCTGCCAGATTTCCATACCATTGATGGGTTTTCTGCATTAATCAGCTTCTTTCTCCCCCTCCCTCCCGTACCCTCACCACCTTTTTGCAACCGGTGAAAAGTTTCTCTAAGCGCTGCTCTCTGCGTATTGATTTTCCTCTCCTGCTTGTCTGACCGGCTCTCAGATGTTTTATTTTGCAAAGCATTAATAGAATTTTTCTTTGGCCGTTGCACTCTGTCTATTCAGGAGGTTTCAAGAAGTCTCATTGTGTCACCGGACTATAGAGGAAAGAGCCTATTCTTCTGCTACAATGGCTGCCCTACAAAATAACACAGGGTGGGGTAAACTCCAAAAGGGCAGAGACGGAGATAAAATGTTCTGACCTTAGGAAGCAGAAAAGATAACCAATTAGGCATTGTTAGAAGGGCACCAGCTGGCTCCAAGAACACCCCCCTGATTATTGCTTGTTACCGTGCGCTCTATCCAAACCTGACACCGGCTGCAGGAGCTGCTTCCCCCACCCGGGGTTCCAGCCTGAAGCTCCCAGCCGCAGTCAGGAGTCTCTGGGTCTCCAGAACTGGCACTGAGTGCAAGGGGTCATTCTTACTGCCCGTGGGGCCAAGAGCTGCGAGAATGACAAGATCTGCTGTATAGATGTAACCTTACTTGGAGATCAGTGCTCGTGGTGGGCGGAGCGCCGTCCTTATCAGCATCCCAGTATTGCTCAGACCTGTGAATCTTCTTCCTCCAAGTGATGAGAGGCAGCAGGACAAGTGGCTTTGTGCTTAGTGTGGTTTGGATTTCCATTGCATCAGCATTGTTAGGTCTCATGGATGGTGGGCATTAGGGAGGCATGCTGCTGTCTGTCTCTAGCTGCTGCTAACACATTTTGCAAAGCACTTTGCAGAAGTCAAGAGCAAGTTAACCAGAGACAGGTTGCTAAATGCACCCTGGTATAAAAGGTTTTGCTGCTCTGCATTTTTGCTGTATCCTGGAGTGTGTTTTAATGCAGCAGTTAAAAGGCTTGAGCTGTGTTTTGCCATCTGCACAGAGCAGGAAGGGGCTGCTGGGATGGGAGGAGGAGTCCGTGGTGGCATTGCACAGGTGAGGGGAGCGTGTAGGATGTTGTGAACTCTTCTAAGGTGTGTGGTTTGTAGAAATCCTGAGTGTAAATACATGAAAATCTCATAGAAATCAGTGGGGAAAAAAAAAAACCAAAACAAATGGAAGAAAAACACCTTAAAAAGATAACCATCCCTGATGTCTCCTGCAATTTAGCAATGGTGTAGGTTTTCATCAGCCCCTGGTTTCAAACAAGGAGCAGGAAGCCTGGAAGTCTTTTCACAGGGCTTGCAGGACCTTTGCTGCAGCGTGCAGGACTGACCCACAGCCCCTGAGCACCAGTTCAAAACGTGGTGAGAAATCCCAGCCCAACAACCTTCTAAAATAAGTGTAAAATGTTAGGTGTGGCTACACAGATTAAACGGAGGTGGAATAAATCATGCAAATAGTAATGAAAGTTGAAAGCAATTTGGTTGCACTTCAGTACGTTTCATCAGTCATCTCTCTTCTGAAGTGGAAATGCCAGGCCTGATGCGAATTAAACTTTCTCCCCCTCCCTCTGCCCTCTCCTCCAGCTTTTCAAAGGGCCCTTTGAAACCCTCTGAATACCTTTCTTGGCTGACCAGATTTTGCCCTGCTCCCGCTCCTTGAAACCTCCCAATTCACAGCCAAGGCAGCAGCACTGATTTGGAGAAGTCACGGGCGTGATTTGCATCCATGATTCCTCAGCCCTCCTTTATCTCTACAAAAGGGAAAGAGGCTGAGGTGGGGCATGGCGAGCTGGAAGGGCCGCCCGGACGTTGGGCTTTGTAGGGTGTCAGTACTGCTAACGTCCGCTTTTCTGCTTTAGGATCAGATGTCAGCGAGCGCACAGGTTGGAAGCAGCAGGTTTCCAAGGGGCGATGCTGACTCTGAGCCAGAGGAAGGAGATGTGATGCACCTGCACTGCCTGAGCCGAGGCCTCCGCCATCATCCCGCTGTGTTTGTGTGCCTCTGCCAACCCAGCTGGGTGTGTTAAGCACGCCTCTCCCTTGTGTCTTGCAGGTAGAGGACGCCATGCTTATGTTTGACAAGACGACCAACAGGCATAGAGGTAAGAGAGCAGCAGCTCAGCCATCACCTTTGTGACAGAGTCGGCATGCTGAGCACAGCCAAAATCAGTGTCAGCATGGTGACCGTGTGGCTAAATGCAGTGGAGCTAAATCAGCAGAACTCCTCATGTTTGAGACAGCTTCCTGTGTCCTGTGGGTGTATGGAGGAAGGGCTGTGTGACATGTAATGCCACGTCCCATGTGGGTTTTCGTATTGGAGCTGATTTCTCTGGTCAGCCTGATGACTTACGTTTGGGAGGATCACTGTCAGGCTCTGTGCTGTCCCCAGAGGTGGTGAAGCCCGGCGCCAGCGTGTGCCGCAGGGAAGGGAGCTGCATCAGAACGAGGGAAAGTCTCTGTGTCCCCACTATTCACCCCATGGGATGTGCATCCGAGCAGGGTCAGCCCCGACCCTGCTGGGAGAACTGCGTGCACTCCTGTTCCCTGCGCACACATCATCCCTGCAGTGCTGGTCGCTGTGCTGCCCACCTGCCCTCTGTTTGCAGTGCTCCTAGTAGAGCCACGCTCACAGCTCAGGGTCCTGCAGTGGTGCTGGGCTCACACCAGGTGTTGCCATGTGGCACACAAGTGCTGAGATCCAGACGTGCTGGTGGCACTGGGGTTGGCTGGGGCTGCTTTTCAGGGAACCTGAAGTGATGTTCCCTGGCCCAGAGTCAGTGCGGCCTGGCTGCTGGCTCAGATGATATCATTTACATGTAGTTGTGGGAAAGGTGACCAAGTGGGCTTGCAAAGCTTGAGGACCATGGCTGTTCTCCCTGGATCCAGCCATGTCACAGAATGCAGAGTCTGTACCAGGGCGGTGGGTGTTGGGGTGAGCTGGGTGTAAAGTAGTAGGTTGAGACCAGGATATCAGGGTGCCGAGCCCTTCGCTGGGGTTGTGAAGTTTGGGGCTGCTCATCGTGTGTCGATAACAGTGAGCAAGATCTCCAGAAAACGAATCCCATCCACATATTTCAGTGGACAGATAAGGTTTCATTATTGCTTGTACAGCTCTGTGAAAATGAGCTGAGGATTATTTCAGCTTTATGGCCTTTCCTTTCAGCAGAAATAAATGATGCTGCTGTCCGGGTGAGCGCCTCGCACTGAGGAGCAGAGCTCCAGCAGAGCCCTGGCAGCTGGGGAGCCCCGGGGGCATGAGGAGCACTGTGCCACCATTCCCTTGCAGTGGGACCGATGGGTGCTGCCTCCTCCTGCTCTCACGAAGCGTGTTTGGAGGCAGCACAGCTTGTGGCTCCCGCAGGGGTGCACAGCTGGAGGTCTGTCCTGCGGCCTTCACGCTCCGGCCATGTCTGCGGGGTGGCCCTTGGAGGGGCTTGCTCAATTGACACAGCTGTTGTCTCAGCCACGGCTGCTTCAGCTTCCTGGTCAGCAGCGGTCCTTGTCACTCACAGCCCAAGGGCAGCCCTGCTGGGATCAGCCCGAGTTCTTGCAGGAAGGAGCCAGCCCTGCAGCAGGGGGACACTGCGGCTGAGCTCTGACCTTCACCTCTGCCATGGAGCGGAGGGAGGAAGAAGCAAGCATAACAACTCAGGAGGCGCAGCCGTCTTTGGCCCCGTGTCTGAGCTGAGCCTGTCTCCCCAGACATTTTCTCCTTCCCTGTGCAGGTAGCTGCCACTAATCAGGCTAATGAGCTGCCGGGCAGGCTGTCATCGTGGAGCGGGTTCTGTGGCATCGATCGTTTATAAAATCACCCTGGATTTTACAAATTGTGACATTCTGATTGTGTTGGAAACACGTTTAAAATGCAGTAGCATGCGAGCAGCAGCGTTAATAGCAATTCTTAAAACCACTTGTGGGTTGCAATCTGTATCGTCAAATTAGCCAAGGGAAAGAGAAATGGCAGATAAAATATCCGCTGTGGTTTACTGTAGTTAGTGTATGCCTAGAATGATCAACGTGGGCAAGGAAAAGTATTAGAATTCACTCTCTGCTGCTGGAAGGAAATGGGGGATGTCTGTTGGTGTAAGGCTGTCCCATGTGTGCTGCCTGTGTGCTCCAGTAGCAGTTGGTGTGGCCGTGCTCACATGTAACCCCCACAGATGGAGGCAATCCCAGAACTGCTCAGTGCTGAGCAGTGTTAGTAATGCCTTGGGAGGCCTCAAATAAAACACTGATGGAGCAATGGAGCACAGAACTTTCATACCCTTTAAAATATTATCAAGCGAACCACTTTGCTTCCTCTGTGATGTCCTTTTGTTTTCTGATACCCCGTCACTCCTTCATGGTCTGTGGAGGAAGTGAGAGGCAGAGCTGCTGCGTCTCCTGCTGATCCGCCTCGCCACGCGGATGGGCAGCTGGCAGTTTGTGCGCACGCCGTGGGAGCAGCGCTCGCTGCTTGGAGCTCTGTTGGAAAAGCAGTCTGACCTTGGTGGGACCAGGCTGGTGCTGCGAGGCCCCTCCTCAGCAGTGGGATGCAAAGGGTGGACGTGTAGAAGGCCGCTGTCCGCATTGCCTTCTTTTATGATTCCATTTGTTTCTGGGTAAGGTTGGTAATGTGGAATTTCTGCGCCCTGCACTGTACTTCTACATTTCTGTATAGGGATTAAAAACACACAAGTTCTGTAAGAGCTGTGGAAGATCACTTTTATCACTTTTTTTGCTGCCTAAAATTTCACAGAGCTGAAAATTACTGGGTCAGTCTTGAAAGGATTCAGTAATTGGAAAGTAGAAGCGAGGGTGGTGTTATTTCGTTACCCTTGCAAAGAGCAGATAAAATCTTGAGTTCAGCATTAGTTATTGATCTTTGGGGTTGGAGGGAACCTTGCAAGATGATGATGCCCTTCTGCCTTCACTGCACAGACAGGTGTGGAGCACATCCCTGGGGGTGCCCTGCGTGGAGCTGCTGGCTGCTGAGCAAGGGCTGCGGGAGCAGGCTCATCTCCTCCCCACCCTTGGTTCTTAGCAGAAGGGAAAGCAGGGTGCAGTGTCTCCTGATGAATGAATTTGCTCAGGAACCCCTTTCTCCCTTTTCTTTCTGTGGCTGTTAAGCAAGTAGGTGGACACTAGTCAGGAGAAGGCGATGGGGAGAGGTGGTGCCCTGGGGTGCTCTCTGTGGGCAGTGCCCATACCCCGTGCTGCCTGCAGGGCTGTGTGCTGTGCTGCAGCAGTCCCACAGCTTGACTGTGCAGAAAGGAAAATAAAGATTTTGACTGATTGAATCCCCCAAGTCGTAATTGCTGGTATTAAATGTAATGCTATATGTTTTCCAAAGCCGTGCAGCCCCCAGAGTTATTTTCATATCAATTAACTCTCACGTGGTTAGGAATGGCAGGGGAGAGAGGAGGGAAGTGACAGCATGTGATTTGGGCTTCTTTAATCTGAAAACTAAACAAAATTAAAGTCAGACCGTCTGCGCGATGCGCGGTGTCCCACGTGTGGGCGCTCAGAGCATCACCCCAGCCCAGCGCAGAGCTCAGTGACTGCACTGCATGGCAGTGCTGCTGCCCAGGGGGGCGGCGTGCAGCCCCTGTGCTCACTGCAGGAAGAGGAGGTGCTGCCAGCGGGACGCTGCCAGGCTCTGCCAGAGAGGGTGCTTTTCTCAGGAGTAAAACTGCCTTTTGCGTTGCCCGACTGCCAGAACCTCAGTTTTGCAGTTGACCTCTGAAGTTCTAATTGACATTTTTCTAGATGAGATATAAATATAATTAAGAGTCACAGCAATTATTTGTTTATCGCCGTCTCTCTCAAGCAGAGCAAGGTCACGTGCGTTTAAAAAGACATCGCTAAGCGGTTTTGAGGAGAGTGTTTAAAACATAGAGAAGTCATTGCCTGCTTTGGTCCTCCGGAGCACAGCTGTGTCTGCTGCACCGCGCCTGGGGAGCTGGGATGGAGCCTGCAGCCTTTGGAAGGAGGGGGCTGCAGGGAAGCTCCTCCTGTCTCTGACCCGGGGCCTTTGGAAAAGCATCCGCACGGGGCTGGCATTTGTTGAGTGCAGTGAGTGCTGTAAGAGCTTCGGATGAAAGGCGTGACATAAGATATAAATGGAGGCAGCATTATTGTTAGCGCTTTGCTGGATGAGGATGGCTTTTATTCCCTTGTCGCTTCTATCGCTTCGTAAATGAGCCTCTGGAGAGCACGGCTGTGCAGAGCACAGCGTTCCCAGCAGCAGAGCCCAACCCGGGGCGGTGCTGTGAGGAGCAGCAGCTCCGTGTCGGTCTGCTGCCCACCCAGCGGGCTGGGGAGAGGAGCTGCACATGGTTTGTAAGCAAATACTTGCTTCAAAACTTCCAAGGAGGGCTGTGAAGATTAATTAGTTAATATTATTTACCATTTACAGACCTATCAGTGGAAGTGGTGATGGCTGAGCTACAGTGCCATCATTCACACCTATCTGTTGGGTTTGCAGTTATGACACGTGCCATATTAATATTTCATGTGTGTACACTTTTAATATCACATCCTCACTTATAAATATTCATGTCATAAACCATATTAATGACAGCAAGGCTGAAGCAGAGCGCTCCCAGCTCTCTGCCTCCCATCCCGAGGTCAGACCCACGCCGGGTGGGATGCAGGAGCCGGGCTGCAGCCTGTGGGTTTGGAATGGCCCTGCAGCCCACTCATGTCCATCCCCCACCATGTGGGTCTGCACGCTGTATCCCAGCCCTGCCTCCTGCATGGTGCTCCCAGCACCACTTGTTTCTTCTGTGCCAGCAGCCGCAAAGCGAGCAGGAGGGGCCACCGAGCCTTGTGCCCCTCAGCCCTGGGCTCTGGTTTCCTGGCCGGCGCCACTTGCTGCTGCATCAGAGCACCTTGCACGAGGTGCAGGAATAAATGCATTTCAGACAGTGACAGCCCTGCATCCTGGGAGGTTCTGTGTCAGAGCAGCAGATTGGTGCTGGCCACACGTCTCCAGGTAACTATAGGATGTCTCGGGTGGCTGCTGCTGCTCTGTGCCAGCCCCACACCGGGTAGCACCACCTGAGGCTCAGAGCAGCGGCCCAGCTGGGTCCTGCTGCTGTTCTTCCTTGCTCCATTTTGG